CGTGACAGAGGTGAGTAGAGTTTTTTTTCCTTTTTCCTTGAAGTTGGTTGCTGGGTTTTGATGATTATATTTCCAAAAATTGAGATCCAAAAAAATATTTCTAACAAGAGTTTTGCTCGAGGGAACAAATAGACAACACTTTCCTTGAGGGTATAAAATCTTTTCACAACACTAATTAGACTCCCTTTACCATCATTTAGTGGGGACTTCCACCCAATATGGGTAGGGCCTTGTCTTCTTCATTGAATTACCCAAAAAAAGAAAATAGCGCAAGTAGTATTGCATATTGTACCAACAGTTCCGTTTCCTGCAATGTTTTAACACCACCCCAATCTTCCGATGATAAAAATGGACAGCAGATGTGTATCGTTCCCTTGCTCGAAAGTCTATTAAAGTTTTGGACTTTTGATGGCAAGAATGGTGTCGAAAAACTGCACAAAACTCAAATTCTCTCATACAAAATTGACATTTGGAAAATAAAAAGATTTGCTTTATGATAACCTTTCAGTTGAAGTACAGTACAAGGGTAAAATTGTTAAAATAATTAACGCAAATATTTTTTTAAAAGAAACAAAAATGGTAAGTTAATGTGGTGATTCAGCATTTTTTGTTGTGTTTGGGAGAAGATCGATGTCCTATTATTTAACAATGTCATTACAATGAGGAAAATATTATTAAAATGGTTAAACCACCTCACAGAATTTATGAGTTATTTAAACCAACTTATTTGTGAACAAAATGGCCAATTAAAAATTATAATTTTTTTTTATAAAAAAAATGTATTTTTTCACTTTGGGACCTCCTGGGCCAATTTTTTTTCAAATATGCATAAATTCCCTCATATTCGAGATGTGGAACCTAAACATGTGAAAGCAACTTGCTAAATTAGCCACTTCTGTTCCTTGAGCTAAATAGCTTAAGGTCAAGCTTTCTATACTCCCCATATTGTGTAAAATTTATACACTTCCCCCTATCCAACCGTCCATTCTTAATGAATGGCAGAGATGGATCCAATCACAATATCACACCTCTATACTATTTTATTTTAAATTTACTTTCTACAAAATATTTTGACACCAAATTTTAGGAATCCAGTCCCCTCTTAAACTCACACCTCTAAAAAATATAAAGCAAATATCCCTAATAAAATAAAATGACTAAAATATCCCTACAAATTTAAAGGGTATTTTGGTCATTTCATTTTATCAAAATTATTTTTAAATATTTTTTTGGTGTGCCCCATTGAGATGATGGCAGGTACCCAATTTTATATTCATATAATTTGTAGAGAAAATTTAAAATAAAATACTCTGAAACGTCAGATCTAGATCAAACGGTCAATGGCTCACTTGATCTAACGTCTTGATGGAGGGAAGTACATATCTTCTATACACAGTAAAGGAAGTATAAAAACTTTTCCTATAACTTGAAGGGATACCCTTATCAGTTTGAAATTCTAAACTCTAAAACATATTTTTTCATAAATAAGTATCATTCTATATCCTGAACCTAGAATGAGATTGGGGCCTAGCTGCCTAAACACAACCACTAGTTAGGTTGTGATATTTTTCTTGTTTTGGTCGTGTAATATTTCATGTGGCCCCAATTGAAGACATGTTCATGTTTTTCTGGCTCATGGAGCTTTCGTGGCTCCAAATAGGTGTATTGGTACTCAATGGTTTTTTTTACTTTGGGTAAGTCACCATATGGTTTTGGTGGTGCCACTTTCATGTCTTTTTTTAATGGGTGGAGCTGGCATACGGATGCATCCGTAGCTTCAGAGGTAAGGTGCGCCTTCAAATTTTATCATAGGATATAATTTTGATGTAAAATGTTCTTAGGATTGCCTCAAAATCTATTTTTATATCTAATTATAAAATTTAAAATTTCAAAAATGGTTAAAATCAAGTAGATCTATAAACATATGGAAATCTTGAAAATGGACGATGTAGATAATATATAGTAAAATGCATTATTTTTTAGACTTAAAATCTTTTTATTTTTTATGGTCATACATCTCGATGTCGAGATGATCAATCAAAGGGTACTTCAACATTAAAACGACCTTTTTCAATTGATTTTTTAGGTGCATTTGTAGCTCTACATTATAAGGTTGCAACCTTGTATAAACTTTTTCTTTTTTTATATATATTTCTTTTTTTTCATTTGTGGAATTCATGCATAGGAGCTGAATCAAGGGAAGAACTTGCCAAAGATCTCTCTCTCTCATGCCTACGTGTTGAACCAGTTGTAAGGAGTCTGCAAAATCAATCTCGACCTCTCTCTATCTATCTCTAACCGATTTCAATTGCTTCATGGTCGTCATCATCATTATTGTTGTTTGTTATTATTATGTTATTTCCAGAAAAATCATCATTATTGTTGTTTGTTGTTATTTTGTTGTTTCCAAAAAAAGTATTTTTAAGAAAAAAAAATAAAACAAACCAACTTCAAATTGGCTGGGCTTGGAATTTGATATGCTAATGGATTTGATCGCATGTATGAGATTGTTTACAAAGAGACCATTTATCTTTTGTACATGGAACTCACAATCATTTTCACTTATTAGATGTCAAACATGATGATTTGGAGTGAGTCACAAAGTTCAAGAATTTCTTCGTTTTTTTGGAATTTGAATCTATTCAATAACATTCTTACAACCACCAATTTTGAAATTTATGAGCGAAAAATGATTGTACTCTTCATGTACAAAAGATAAATAGTCTTTTTGTAGACAATATCACCCTGAGGTGAAGTCTTCTATATCCTCTTAGACTTTGACAATTCATTCCTATTGGAGTAATACTTAAATGGGAAAAGTTTATATAAAGCCGAGGCTCTACTAAATCAAATTACAGCCCACCTCAAATATTTCACTAGAAGTGGTTGTTTTGATGCCCCAATATACTCAAATTAATCATTTTGACATCAAGATGCATAGATATGATCAAATATACTCAAATTGATCATTTTGACATCAAGATGCATAGATATGAGAAAAAAATGGATTTCAAGTTTTAGAAATAGTGCATCTTGTAATGCATTTTTGAACTATCAATTTTCAAGATTTTCAAGATTTTCAAGTTTTCATAGATCTGCTTGATCTATACTATTTTTGAAGCTTTAAAATTTATAATTTGATAGAAAAATGTATTTTAAATCTATCACAAAGGTTTCCAATATTGAAACTACATTTTTCAACACTATTTGAAGGTGAGTTCTATTATGATTGTTTAGAACCTCGGCTCTATACAAACTGCACCCATACTTAATTTATTGAGGTTATAACCACGTTTTAAATCCAGTTGGTGGCCTATCCCAAAAATAAAAACATGTTTTAAGTTCTTTATACCGTTTTAGACTTTAACAAAGTCCATTTCCATGGAAGTAGACTTAATTTATCGAGGTTACCAAGATTCATATCTGAATATTTTATGTTTTTAAGATGGGATTTTATATAAAGAAATCATTTATCTTTATACATTGTGGGCATAAAGTCCAAAAAATTTGTTTTGGAACTTTTTTGTCTATTCAATAATACTCTTACAACCATATCATTTGTGATTCAAGAGACAATAATGATTGTGAGTATAAAAGATAAAGGATGAAGTTTTATATAGCCTAGGCTTTATGAAAACAAAATAACTCCTCAACTTAAATCCTCATCGAAAAACGACTTTCGACCATAGAAATCTCCATAATGGCTATAAAATCAATTTTCAGTACTAACAATAAAATTTAAAAATAAGAAAATAGTACAAATCTTGCGGATCTATGAACAATTACTTTTAGGGCGAGATGTACGATCTAGATAATTTGTTATAATATATATTATGTTTAGAGCTTGAAATTCTATTTTTTTTACAGCCATAATTTTCAGGCCGAGGCGATCGATATTAAAGTTTTCCAATGCCTAAACTGCAATTTTCTATGAGCAATAATGTGAGGTTTTACTTATTTTTATCGTAGTACAGCTCTATCAAACAATTTTCCAAAGATTAAATGGTCTCCCCTATTAAGATATTTATCAAGATGTAAAAGGACTCCAAATTTAAAAACTTTAAATCCTCTAGTGAATAGGAGTGCATGTTATTCATGCTTAGAATGATCGTTTGTTTGTAGAAGAAGAAGCGTAAAATCAATTGAGACGGCCGGGTCTGACAATTTTTTAGTTGGAAAATTGCAAATAACCCACTAGATTCCTATGCAAGTTACCCTAACTAAATTTTGTTTTCTCGTTTCTTACTTAAAAATATATTTTCTAAACAAATATCCTCCAACCAAAAATTAAAAAAGCAAAATTACCCTCGTTTACTTTTACTACACTTCTCCCTCCTCTTTCACATGAAAGGCTGTCCGGCATATTCATAGGCGGTCCAACAATGTAATGTCAATCCGGTAAATAGCATTAGCGGTCTGGCAGTACAAGTGGTGGTTCGACGTTTACAAAAAACGGTCCCACAATAAGCCCGTGCAGTCCAGCACTATCAAAGAGCGGTCCAAACAAGCCAACGCGTGGTCCGACAACTTCATAGAGCGGTCGAACACTTTTTTTAATTTCACGGTCCGGCAATGTCAAAGAGCATTTCCAACAACTCATGTAAGCCCACATGAATGTCCGGCTAAAATTAAATTTTTATATAAGAAAAAAGTATTTTCGTAAAAAAAAATATACTTATGTTTACTTTAGAGATATTTGTTAACAAAATACTTTTCGAGAAAAAAATGACAAAAAAAAAAAAAAAAAATGATTGAGGTAACTTGCATAAAAAATATGGTCTTGAGGCTCTCATTCAATATGCACCGCATATATAAAAAAAGATAGTGTTTGTTCAGTTCAACGGCTCAGATTCATTTGTTTTCTATTTTTAATTTTCTATATACACTTCAAATTTGTGAGATGCATGGAGCACTAAAAAAAAATAAAAAAAAATAAAGAAAACAAAATAGCTAAAGGAGAAAGCTCACATAACGGAGCACCTCAAAAGTTAGTAAAAACAAGTTAGTTCGATAACAAAAAACCTCTAATCCCCCCCTGATCTCCAACAAAAACCTTTGTTCTCTTTTTAAGATTCAGAAAGTACTTTGGTTTTTGTGCGAGAAAGAAGAAAGGGTTTACCCAACTGTTACGCAGTTGGAAGAAGAGAGAATTTCCGCATAAAGAAAAAAAATGAAGAGAGAGAAAGTGACTATGGGAAGAGAGAGAAAGTGACAATTGAGCTCCTTTGCAGTGTGAAAAAAGCCCCAATGTTCAGCCACCCATGATTTGCCTGTAAAACGATAACTCTCCCGCCACTCAGAATTTCATTTAGAGAGAAGGCAACTTTAAGAGTTGGATGTTTTAGAGAGAGAAAATCAAGCGTTGGGTTGAGGTTGGGTCACTGGTTAGACCTCCATGGAACGCGAACTGGAGCCTAGGGGCTCTGTAACTTCACTCCCGCACTGTGAAATCCATGTAAATGGGGCTTCTGATTGCTTGATTGAGGATGGTGTGGACCCGAATCCTCGAATATCGGCTCTGGCCTCCCATGGCCATGCACCCCAATTGGCCCATGAGAATGAGGTATTCTTCTTACCAATATGTAGCTTGCTGATTGTTTCTTATGGCTACTCTCTCTCTCTATCTGTCTCCCTCTCTCTGTTCTTTTTATTTTTATTTTTTGTTTGTTAGGTCCCGTGTTTCTATTCTGTTTCTATGTGTATTATTGTATGTTTCTTGTTGATGGGTGATCTCTCTCTTTGTCTCCCCCTCTCTGTTCCTTTTTATTATTTGGTCCCCTGTTTCTACTCTGGTTCTATGTGTATTAATGCATGCTGGTTGTTGACCACTTGTTCTTTGTTTTTTTGACAGGATGCTCTGTCTCTGTATAGTTCTTGCTTCTAAGTTATCTAATGTAGTAGTTTTGATTGCTTCTCTCTCTGCCTCTGTACCTGTTTATTTTTTGTGGCTGATTCTTCATTAGTAAGAGTTGGATGTCTGTTCTTAACTTTGCAAGTTCTTCATCATCATGATCATCATCATTGTAGCCTTTTCTGAATTATTTGGGGTCGGCAACACAAATAATCCTGGTCCGCATATTAGGAACTGTCGGCATGGCCATAAGTCTCCATATCTTTTCAGACTATTTCCAACCAATCCTTTTAAGCCTACCCTGCTCTTTTCAATTCTTCCATTTGAACTAACTCGCACCTCCTAGAGGTGCTGCATGAGATGAGCGCCACACATAGTCAGCTCACCGAAGTCTACTCTCCCGATCTTTCTTAACTTTGCAAGTTGATTTTCTTATTTCCTTTTTTATTGCTTTTATCTGTATTTTCATCAACTGGATATTTTAGGTGTAATTTCACTTGTTGATGTTAGTTCTCCTCTTATTTGTGTTTTATTTAATTAAAAAATACTATGATTAGCCCATGATATGAACATATAAGCCCAATGGCTCAGATTGAATATGGGCCGATCTAACATTCACGACTTCATTTAGTATTTTAATTTTTTTTCACAAATTCAATTTTAATTTTAATTTTTTTTTACAAATCCAAATAACTTCAAATTTTAGGCATGTATTCTTCAAAAATAGGAGAATCTAATAAAAATATCAAAAAAATAATTTGCAAGAAATAAATTGATCAAAATACTCCTGAAAAGTTTCGAGAGTATTTTGGTCAATTTATTTTTTGTAAATTATTTTTTAAATATTTTTATTAGATGCGTCTTGATGAGAAGAATAGACGCCTAAAATTTTCAGTTATTTGGATTTGTAGAAAACAATTAAAATTAAAATTAAAATACGAAATGATGTTGTGACCGTCAGATCGACCCAGATTCAATCTGGGCCGTTGGGCTCATATGTTCATATGAGCTAGTGGGCTAATCTCAGCATTTTCCTTAATTAAAAACATTGTATTTCACTTTCATATCTATCTTTTGTTGCATATGTTTTACACTATTGTTTGTTTATTTTAATGGTATATCTAAGGATGAGAATTAATTTTTAAGAAAATTTTCCGGTTTACCTTTTGATTTGTGGGTTATGTTTTTCTTTTTTGTGCAATGTTTTGTGTTGCAAATTGATATAATTGGCTCTATGTTGGGTACATGATATTTATTTGTGTTCATGGCTTTTTTTACTACTGAAGTATTTGTTCCAACTTAATTTTGTTTCTTATTTAGTTCTTGATGGGTCGGTCTTCATAATTTCATTACACCTGCACAGTACTTAATTATTTATGTATGTATAATGCGTATTTTAAAGTTAATGATGTCATTTTCTAGGATGCTGGTAAGTGGAGGACTGTTGTTCTTGCTTATAAGACTCTTGGTGTTGTGTTTGGGGGCCTTGTTACTTCTCCTCTTTATGTTTACCCTTCAATGAGGTTGACGTCTCCGAGCAAGGCAGATTATTTGGGGATTTACTGTATTATATTTTGGACTCTTACTTTAATTGGGGTTGTGAAGTATGCCTTAATAGCACTCAAAGCCAATGATCATGGTGAAGGTAAACACTGAATTTCTCAATGGAATAAGGTGAAATTTTCTTTTGGATTTTGCCTCACAGGCACACACACACACACACAATTCGTATATTCCCTCAACTTTTTGGCATTTAGTTCTTGATCTTGCAAATATGCTCCAATTCAGATCCATCTGCTTGAATTTATCACAGTTCATTTAAGTTACTTATTCTTTGGAATTCTATTCTGAATCTATAGCGTGTTAATTTTTCCCTTGTGTATAAGGACAAAAGATAGTTGCATATAATCACATGATTGTAATTTGAGTTTACATGCCTTGGGATATCGAGCTACCTCGCTCGAGGACAGAACTAAAGCTGCTTGAACTAGCCATTTCATGAGAATACTTAGCTAGGGTTGTCGGTTTTCTTCCTCAATAGCGGTTGGCATCGCCAAAGATTTGATATACCCTAGGACTAGTCATTTGCTATCAAAGCCATGGAATAGAGAATGTGATGACCTGTTTTAAGGAGCAAATTAGAGGAGACTCAGATTCATAGGTATGCCTTCTTTGTCAAGGCAGTAGCTATGGTTATTTGTCTAACAGTAATCAAGTGAATACAAACTGGTGCTGGATTCTTCTGTCGTTGACTGTATGGAATGTGTGATATAGATTTCTTATTTTCATGAAGCTGAAGGTATTTCTAATATGAGCATTTACCACCATGTTGAGATTTGATTGATGGAATTCAAAACCTAGAATGGGTTAAACATTAATGGTCACTAATGTAGAATACACGCTGCACATTGTAGAGTTTGTCGTTAGGATGCATTCATGCTACTGAAAATCAGGTTGCGTTAAGTATGCTAGACCAAAACATTTCAAGTGTATATGTTCCACTACCATGTTTTTCTAATGTAGTAGTGGTTCATTCTTAATGCAATGTTTAAAACGTGAATGAAACATGGTATAATGTATTCCAACATGCCCCGAAGTTCCTGAACTGTTATGCAGATATCTGAAGCACATCTCTTTCAAGGATCTGACACTTGAGTGGCTTTAATCTAACACTGTGATGGTGTTCCTTTAGTAATAACATGGTTATACAGACTGATGTCCATATTCTTTAAAAGGTCAAAGTGTGGAAGGTATACAGCATTTGCACTGCTTGCGCACACACACACACAGAGACCATGGAGTTGAGAAACCAATGAGTCAGCTGGATGATATGTGACACTGGTACTCTTGTGGTGTCAATACATTGCATTAATGGAATTAAGTGTTTCACTGATGATGCTGGAAGTTTAGATAGATAAAAGGGATTCTTACCAGAACCAGAGGAGGATATTGGGAAAAGTAAGGATTACTTTCAAGGAAATTAAAAGCATGACATATTCTAATTTTCAGGATAGTAATGTTGATGCTTATTATTATTAGTATTATTAAAAGAAAAAAAAAAGCAACTTCACTGCTAGGTGCAAGCACATTTTCATCACTCATGAGGAGGCTAAAACAAGAAAGAGAAAGCAACCAAATAGAATGTGTTGCCCAAAATCTAGTTGTCTTTGCATAGGATGGTTGAATAACAGTGTAACCCAATTAAAACAGATGATGAGTTTCTATTAATCAGATATACAACTTTGAATAGAACTTCAACCCAAATTTCTGTAAGCAGAAGAGAGAATGAAAAGTTCTGGTACTTCCTTTATATGTGCTGAGGAAATATGGACACTTTCTTTAAGAATGCATGCATGAGATTCCACCAGGTCTTACATTTTGTTTGACAATTATCCATGGAGCTCCTAGAATTTTAAGGAGTGACCCTACTGGTCTCTAATTATCTTCTCAAATAATTCAGACTTCAACAGGATAAGTATGGCCAAGAGAGATGTGGTTAATTGGCACTAAATAATGTATGAGCTGTAGGTCAAGCTTCTGAATTTAGTAGGGTGTTCTGGTTCATAGATATCATAGATATCATAAGGAACAATGGAAAAACATGATATGCTCATATCATGTCAAACAGCAATACTGGGTACTTGCATTTTCAGCCCATGCAGTTGTGAACATTGTAATTCTCGCAAAAAGATGATGAAATCATATGTATAGTACTTCGTTCCCCTTGATATATTGTGCTTTGTACCTTTTATATGAGACATAAGTCATTGTTCAAAGAATGTCTAAAAAATATAAATACTTTGGATGAGTGAATAAGAAAACAGGATTTGTTCCGACTTCCAACAATTTGTATGGGCTAATGAAGGGAAAATTGTATAGGACGGCTTTAAGACCAATCATGCATTGTGAGGCGGAATGTTGGGAGGTAGAAAACAACATGTCCATTGGATGAGTGTAGCTAAGATAATGATGTTGAGATGGATTAGTGGCAAGACAAGGAAGGATATAATTCGGAATGAACATTCGAGGAAATTAGGGGTAGTAGGGAAAGTAAACTTAAGTGGTCAGGTCATATGCAGCGTCGACCTAGAACAATACCGGTTAGGAAGGGTGATTTGGTTAAAGTGAAGGCTCTAAAAGGGCAAGGGGAAGGCCCCAAAGGACATGGATGGAAGTAGTGAAAAAATATATGGTGACTTGTGGTTTAAAGGTATGACTCTTGATAGAGCGGAATGGAAGAACACGATTCATGTAGCCCACCCCAAATAGTTGAGATAAGGCTTGGATGATGGTGATGATGATGAAATGTTGAGTCAATATACAGTGTCTATAGCACTTGGGAACACTTCCTGCTCTGAGTGCCCTAACTTATTGCCTGAAGTTATCATGTTTCCTTACAAATGGATGTCTTACATTCATGCAAGCTTGTTGTAACAATCCTAACTTAAAAAAAAAGAAAAAACAACCTTTTACCTTTGATGGTCCATACAAATAATTCGGTCCTTAGGGACCCTC